CGGGTGGGGACGGGCAGAGGGAGGGTGAGGAGGGAGGACAGAGACAGAGACAGAGAGAGAGAGGCTTGAGTCCGCTGAACAAACACACGGCATCGAATAATTGACGGGGAACAGACAGACAGACGTCCGTCGTGAGCACCGGGAGGCCGAGGCGGGAGGATCACTAGAGGCCAGGGGTTCAAGACCAGCCTGGGCAACACACAGTGAGACCCCCGTCTCTGCAGAAAAGGAACGATTAGACAGGCGTGGTGGCACTTGCTTGCAGTGCTAGCTACTCGGGAGGGAGGCTGAGGCAGGAGGATCGCTTGAGGCCAGGAGTTGGAGGCTGCTGTGAGCGACGATAACACCACCACATTCTTTTTTTTCTTTCTTTGAGACAGAGTCTCGCTCTGTCTGTCGCCCGGGCTGGAGTGAGTGCCGTGGTGTCAGCCTCACTCACAGTGGCCTCTGACTCCTGGCCTCCAGCGAGCCTCCTGCCTCGGCCTCCCTCCCGAGTAGCTGGGACTACAGGCATGCGCCACCACGCCCGGCTCGTTTTTTATATATATTTTCAATTGGCCGATTAATTTCTTTCTGTTTTTTCTAGTAGAGACAGAATCTCGCTCTTGCTCAGGCTGGCCTCCAACTCCTGACCTCGAATGATCCTCCCACCTCGGCCTCCAGAATAGCTGGGACTCCAGGCGTGCGCCACCACGCCCGGCTCATTTTTTCCCTATATATTTTTAGTCGTCCAGCTCGTTTCTTTTTTTTATATATTTTTTTGAGACAGAATCTCACTCTGTCGCCGCGGGCGGGAGTGAGCGCCGTGGCGTCAGCCTCGCTCACAGCGGCCTCCGACTCCCGGCCTCCAGCGATCCTCCCGCCTCGGCCTCCCTCCCGAGTAGCTGGGACACCCCAGTCACGCGCCACCACGCCCGGCTCGTTTTTTCCCTCTATAATTTTTAGTCGTCCAGCTCGTTTCTTTCTTCTTCTTCTTCTTCTTATTTTTTTTTTTAGTAGACACAGGAGGGGTCTCGCTCTTGCTCAGGCCGGCCTCGACCTCCTGACACCTCGAGCGATCCTCCCTCCTCGGCCTCCCGCAGAGCCCCGGGACGACAGGCGTGCGCCTCCGGAGGCGCCCCGGCCTAATTTTTTTTTTATAACTTATTATTTCTCTGATTCCTTGGCATTTCGAGGTCTGGATCAGGAGTGTGTCTTTGGGAACAACAACGCACAGCTTTTCCCGTCCTCTAAAATCCGGCTACACGGGAAGGGGACGCGGAGGCCAAATCCTCCTTCGGATCCTTCCGGGCCCCGGGCAGAGGGTGACTCGCCTGTGGTGGATGTCGCTCAGGGCTTGGCAGGAGTCCACCGTGATGATGGAGAAGGAATACAGGGCGTCGCCTCCCTCGGGGGGCTCCCAGCAGTCGAAGATGCCGGCCATGGTCAGCGGCCTCCAATCTTCCCAGACCGCCTCCCGGTCCCCGAGACCGCGTGGGGGACCCCCGCCGCCGCTGCCGCCGCCGGCCTACAAGCGAAAACACACGGGGAGACGGTCGGGCCCAGCACTCGGAGGAGGAGGCCGAGGCGGGAGGCTGGCTCGCTCGAGGTCGGGGAGTTCGAGGCCGGCCCGGGCAAGAGCGAGACCCCCGTCTCTACTGAAAATAGAAACAAATTAATTGACCAACTAAAAATATATATAGAAAAAATTAGCCGGGCGCGGAGGCTCACGCCTGTCGTCCCGGCACTCTGGGAGGAGGCCGAGGAGGGAGGATCGTGCTCGAGGCCGGGAGTTGGAGGCCGGCCCGAGCAAGAGCGAGACCCCGTCTCTCCAAAAAAAAAAAAAATAGAAAGAAACACAGGAAGGTAGAAGGGCTGGCCAACTAAAAAATATATATATAGAAAAAAAAACGAGCCGGGCGTGGTGGCGCGTGCCTGTCGTCCCAGCTACTCGGGAGGGAGGCCCAGGCGGGAGGATCGCTGGAGGCCGGGAGTCGGAGGCTGCTGTGAGCGAGGCTGACGCCACGGCACTCTACCCAGGGTAACTGAGAAGACTCTTGTCTTAAAATTAACGCGTATTCACTTAACACACATTACAGCCGTAAGAGTGCCTGACTCACAGTAAGTACTTAATATTTACTAGCTGTTATAATTAACAGAAATTAATTAATTTCCTTTTTTTTGGAGACAGAGTCTCGCTCTGTCACCCGGGCTAGAGTGAGCGCCGTGGCATCAGCCTCGCTCACAGCAGCCTCCACCTCCTGGCCTCCAGCGAGCCTCCTGCCTCGGCCTCCCTCCCGAGTGGCTGGGACCACAGGCATGCGCCTCCACGCCCGGCTCGTTTTTTCTATTATTTTTTTTTTTTAAGTTGTCCGGCTCATTTATTTCTTTTTTTTTTTTAGTAGAGACGGGGTCTCGCTCTTGCTCAGGCTGGTTTTGAACTCCTGACCTCGAGCGAGCCTCCTGCCTCGGCCTCCCTCCCGAGTAGCTGGGACGACATGCGTGAGCCTCCACTCTAGGCTCAATTTTTTTTCCTATGTATTTTTAGTTGGCCAATTAATTTCTTTCTATTTGTTTTTTTAGTAGAGACGGGGTCTCGCTCTTGCTCAGGCTGGCCTCCAACTCCTGACCTCGAGCGATCCTCCTGCCTCGGCCTCCCCGAGTGCTGGGATGCCAGGCGTGAGCCTCTGCGCCCGGCCTCTTTTCTATTTTGTGTTTATTAGTAGAGACGGGGTCTTGCTCTTGCTCAGGCTGGCCTCGACCTCCTGACCTCGAGCGATCCTCCCTCCTCAGCCTCCCTCCCGAGTAGCTGGGACTACAGGCGTGAGCCTCCGCGCCCAGCCTCCAAATGTATACACTGAGCGCTGATCAGGGCACCTGCTTCGTTTGGGCTTGGGGGAAGTAGATGAAGTAGGGCTGCCGCTGGCCGGACCCGGGACATCTCCGCCACTCGTAGAATCCGTCTGCCAACACGACACAGCGTCTTCCCTTCCCAAGAGGCACCTGAGGGACAAAACGTGCACAAGACGCGGTCTCGGGGACGCAGTCACGGGTCACACGCCGCCGCCACACGGAGCTCCAGGCGCAGTCTCACACTCTGGCGTGTGACCTTAGAACAGGACTCGGTTTCTCTGCGCGTCAC